AGTGCTTATTTTACTGTGTTCTGATTTTCAAGTGCTATATTCCAAATATTCACTCACTTATCCAAAGTGATTACAGTGTTAATAGAAGCATTGGTGCTTAAATTCAGTGTTCAAATAGCTGTATTATGCAATTAGTCAATGTGCAATTACAGGAATCTATTGGAGCCAGATGCAAGCAATCCAGAGATATGCAAAATAGAGATTAAGACTTCCTCAGTTTTATGTTTATAAGCAAATTATCCAGTTAAACAGGGCTCACTAAAGTAAGAATTGCGAGGCTGAGGGACCCCACCGGAGCATTTTAAACCAGTTGGACTAGTGAATTTTCAATTCAACAGTTCAGAGAGATGCCTTAAAGCTCTGAAACGTTTCAGCACTGTAAAAGTGGGGTGAGTTCAAGTACCCATAACAGAGACAACAACTCCCCAAAAAAGATGTCCTTAAGGTTTCTTTAATTAGAGCTTCTTTTTCCTCCCCCATTCAATTTCTTTCAAAATAATGTCTTATCAGAAAGCCTTTTGAGAACACTTCCTGGCAGTCTCATTCACAAGATTGGACATAAACATTGAGTTTCAGTGTTTAATAATGTAACATTCAATAGCTAAAGCTCCATTTCATATCCTTGATATACTCACAAATCAGTTTCAAAAACCATGGAAGGTTCAGAAATGATCAAGGAATAGATGTGTGGTGGAGCAGATGCACAGATGCTGTGCTGGAAGAAAAGACAAATGCTAAGGTGCATAATGATTCTGAAAAGATTTCTTTATCAAGCATGTCATTTGTTTGAAAGAACAGAGTTGTTGGCATCAGATGTGGGATATCAGCTTGTTAGCAAAGTGAAACATGATGGCTGCTAGTGATTGATGAATCAATTGAAATTACTGATGTTGCACAACTGAATATCTTCATTTAATATGTCAATGGTCAGAAGTTAATGAAACACCTTCTGTTTGAGCTTATCATCACAACCAATAAGATGTCACATCTCAGTGGATACCCTGGCTAAATATTTCTTGTAAAGAATACTGAAGTCTTCAAAGAAATGTTATCAGCTGGCCAATCAATTACAAATTTTATTGATGATTTGATGCAAAAATATGAGTGTAGCTTTTCTGTGTATGTTCCGACTGTGTAAAATCAATGAATTATTTGTATAATAAATGACTTTTATGCACTAGATTTTCATCAAGAAGGTAAAATGCATTTATTTATCTGTAACACAAATAGCCTCCTATTATTGACTCTGGGCCATTTACAGAAGGAAGTTTTTGATTACCTGATTTAAGGGGGAAAAGTATTTTTTCCTTACAGAAAGTTAAATAAAAAGACTTATCTGAGAATCTACAAATCTCTTCTCCTATCCCCCACTCCAAATCCCCCTACCTGTTCTATGGGAAGATGTGCTTACTGACTTGATCCTTTGGACTACAGAATTAGGATATGGCCATGGGAGGCACTACAGCACTGCAGTAGACATCAATTTTGAAATTTGTCATTTAATATAACCTTGCTTAACCAAGTTTACGTTAGTAGGTAACAAACAATCAATTAAAAAATTTAACTTTAATACAGCTGGCTCCCACATTTAATAGGGTAGGATCAGAAAGATAAAGGTGATAAGCCAGTGAAGAAAGGAATAATGAAAAAAAAAAGTCTCTTTTGTACAAAAGTCATTATCGTTCAGCAATACAGACCCTGGGAAACTCCAGGTCCCAAAAGTCAGTGGGAAGAAAAGAAATGCTCTCCATTTAGTGTGTTGCTACTTTTGTTTTGTTTTACCACATAAATATGCCTATAACTAAGAAAAAATGCACTTCATAATGCTGTAATACATCATTTCTATACTTTCAGTCAAGCCTCAATTTTATTAACATACTAGCAGCCTCATGCCTGCACCCCCTCACAAACCAGGACCCCTCAGGGGATGTCGGAAGCCTGGTGCACAGATTAGGCCCCATCCCCACAGGCAGAGGGACTCCGCCAGTGCACGGGCCTCTAATATGCATATAAGATCTTTGGTTAATCTCTTCTCGCCTTCCCCCCTACCCTCTTTCCTCTGAGATTCATCAGTCTGCTCTGTTTCCATGCCTGTACGTTGAGCATCTGGTGGTCAGTGTGCATCATAGCTACCAATTGAACAGTCAAATGGTCAAAAGGTTACTTAGGCTTTTATATATAGAGAAAATAATCAGGGTATCCTTTTAAAACATAATGAAAACAGAAGTATGGTTATAAAGTAATAAGACTGTTAGCTGTTGTTTGTTCTGATTTTATCTTTAAGTGAGGCAATCACCTAAGGAGTCCATAAATTTATTCTAAAGATGCTGACATTGGTCAAAACATTTCAGGGACTTCTATTTGGGAATGGCTTTCAAGAGCTAGCTTCCAAGCCTCACAAGAAAGTCAGTTTCATTACTTTATGGTCCCACCTGCTTAATGCTAACATAAATTTAGTAGTGGGAAATTGAATAATTTAAGATATCATAAAACTTAATCTTTTTGTTAAATGCAGATGCCAATTTTCATGTTATAAAATTGTCACCTAATTTAAATATAGTAAGAATAAGTCTGTTGACTAAAGTAAAAGTTTTACCCAATTAAAAGTAAACTATTATAGTATTGTTTACAGATATTTAAGTACACAACTTACTTTTATCTAATAATATTTGTATTCAATGGAAGATAATGAACATGCATTTAATAACATTTTAATTTTTGTTAAAATGCTCATATCTAGTGATTATGCTTATGAAATGCTGTATTTCTTATATATCCTTAAGTCTCCATACATTTTCTGAAAACTGCATTAATTTGCACCCCAGTATAAATCACTATATGTTTTTAGTAAAATGTTCCTAACATAAAAATTAAGAAGCTTCCCCCAAAGCAACAAAACAAAAGTTAGCCGAAACCGGTTTGGCTCAGTGGATAGAGCGTCGGCCTGCGGACTGAAAGGTCCCAGGTTTGATTCTGGTCAAGGGCATGTAACGTTGGTTGCAGGCACATCCCCAGTAGGGGGTGTGCAAGAGGCAGCTGATCGATGATTCTCTCTCATTGATGTTTCTAACTCTCTATCCCTCTCTCTTCCTCTCTGTAAAAAAATCAATAAAATATATTAAAAAAAAAAAAAAAAAAAAAAAAAAAAAGCTGCCAGGACCGGTTTGGCTCAATGGATAGAGCATCGGCTTGGGGACTGAAGGGTCCCAGGTTCGATTCCGGTCAAGGGCATGTACCTTGGTTGCGGGCATATCCCCAGTAGGGGGTGTGCAAGAGGCAGCTGATGGATGACTCTCATCGATGTTTCTAACTCTATCTCTCTCCCTTCCTCTCTGTACAAAATCAATAAAATATATTAAAAAAAATTTTTTTAAAAAGCCACCTGAAAGAAAAAAGAAGGGAATTAACATTTGACTCTGTACCAGGCTCTTTATAGACATTTTCTTGTTTATTCTTAGCATAAACTTAGGAGATATTATCATGGTGCAGCTGATCCATGCACAAATTTATAAGTTTACTTTTTCAAGGACCTTTAAAAATAATCCTTTTACAATACTTCATTGTCAGTCTGAAAGAACAGTTTTTGTGTTTTTGTTTGTTTGTTTGTTTTGTTTTGTTTTGTTTTTAGTTCTTTTCCTTAAAAACAAAACATTCTATGAACATTGTTATGGGGGATACAAGTGTCAAGTTTTAGGGAGCTAAGAATCAAAGAATCACAATCTTTCTTGTCTGGCCTGTACTCCTACTCTCAAAATAAATTAACATAAAAAATCAGAGGGAAATGATTAGTTTTTCCTTTTCTTAAAAATTACAGTATCATCAGTCTACTTAGCAAAATTTTAATAAAATTGGATCAAAAGAATCAATCGCAATATATTCTATCAGGCTGTAATTTTATAACTCATCATGGAATAATCATGTCAACTAAATACAATGATGGCCACTCACAGATTAGATTAGATTACAGATGTTAAATTTAAAACGAGAACTCAAGGATCTAGTGTTTCAAGAATTTCTCTCTGAAGTATCTTCATCTTGTCTAACATAACAGTTAATTAATAACAACTTGTGTTTTAATAACACCTATATTCCATGATTTTATGAGTGTTCTAATAAATGGTTGAAGGTGTCTGCCCCATGAACCAATTTGAGGCTTCTGGATAATGTGCATTTAATGTGCTATGCTGCAATGTCTCTCCTCTCCACAGACCTTCCTTTCTCCTGGGAGGTAATCTTCATCTTTGTCTTTCCCTCTCTTTCTCACCCAAATAGTGGTGTTCAAATGTTGTTTTTTTCCTCTCCAAACTCTTTCCTCCAGTTCTTTCTCCTAATCACCCTAATCAGTCCTTGACTCTGAATTCTTCCCCTGACCTCCCTAGCACCTGGTTGAATCCCTCCAGGAAAGTAGTGAGAGCTCAAAACAGTTGATTGGCATTTGATGTGTGGGTTATCCCCCACCCTAAGTTTATCGCTCAGTGAAAGCCCAGCTATATTAAGAGAAATGTGAATAAAATATAAATTGTTGTCATTCAACAGATTAATCAAAGTTATTTAGGAGCTATAATTGTCACTGTAATAAAACAATAATCACAAAAATAATTTAAATGTTTTATTTAGGTCAAACAACAGTTATAGGGATCCTGGGTATTGCTTTTTGAACACAAACATATGAAATTAATAAAACAAGCATTCATACTGCTAGTTTTCAACACGTGTGGAGTGCAGATTATTTGAAAGAGAATTTCAACAAGGTCAACACAACGCATGAGATAATACATACTGGGTAATGAAACAGACCAGTCTTCACCTCCATTGTCCAATTCATAATACAGGGTAGGGGCTTTTTTGCTTTTCATTTCACAAATGATTGCTCAACACAGACTGAATATACCAAAAGAAGAAAATAGTCTTTTTCTATCTAAGGAAGAAGCTACCACTCTTAAAATTATCACTTCAAGATAACAGACAATCAAATTGATGTGGTTTTCTTTTAAACCTCATCAGTAAATCATTTCTTGCACAGTAGCTTCGGCATTAACCCTGCATTTAGCATAGGTAGTGTTATGGAGGGCTGGCTGCTGCATGCCAACATCAGTATCAAGTTCTTCATCAGGAATTAGAGACTGTCCCGGATACCATGCAGGACAACACTGGCAAAAGAACAAAAAGTGAACTGCAGATAGCTCAAAACAGGCTACATTTACTCTTTAAAAATGTTTAGTAAAATGTTACTGGATGTTGTTTCAAATGATAGTTTATACTAAAACATGATGGAATCTGTTATTTTTAACACTTTATATTTCAAATGGTCTTTCATAGGCTGGGTTTTCATAAAACACATTAGATAACATGTACATTCCATTAAAGATCAAATATCATACACTTGCCATCCGGTGAAGGTTATTTTTATAGTTGCTGTAAAGCTCATATTCATCAGATTTGTAAACAGGTAGAACTGCCATCACAAAATTGTTTGCTTTGGTAGATTATTTTTAAAGAAAGATGATGTCTTTAGTTTCAACAGATTAAAAAAAAAAACATGAATTTCTCTAATCTTATTCAAAGAAGTTTTGATCTTGTGTTAAGTTACCATTAGTTCAAATGCTCTGAACACTCCCTCATTTAAATGCTTTTCTGCAAACTAAGTGTTTTTAAGATGTAAATTTTAATAGTTATTGTAGAAACCAAACATCAGTGGGGAAAGCAGTGACCTTTGGAATCATCATTCAAACAACTATGATTTCTATCAACTTATCATTCATCCAGTTTTGCAGAAATTCCATTCAATTAACTCCTCTAAAATTTGACGACTTTTATCATATCAAATGATCCAAAGAACACCACAGGAATCCAAGGAAGACAGTTCACTAGTGCATGTTTAGCTTGATTTTAATTTTTTTTTTTATTGGTGAAAGAGAGAGAGAGAGAGAGAGAGAGAGAGAGAGAGAGAGAGAGAGAGAGAGAGAGAGAGAGATGCATCAATCTATTATGACCTACCCATGTACTCACGGGTTGCTTCTTCTATGTGTCATAATAGGAGATGGAACCTGAAACCTTGATGTTTCAGGAAGATGCTCTAACCAACTGAGCTACCTGGCCAGGACTTAGCTTGATTTTAAAGTTAATTTAAGAGACAATCTGGCTTTTTAGTTCTTAAAGAGACAAACTGCCTAACCATTAGCTAAAGCTTTTTCAAGTGAATGAACTTTTCACTTTTCACACTTTTCATACCAAGAGTTTTAACCAGGAAAAATCTCAAGCCTCAGGGTTCAAGCTACCCCAAAGAAAAATGAAGTATACAGCAAGCACTATCTACTTCCTTTGATCTCTAGATGTCAGTACCAAGGTCTATTGAGGGAATTTCGGGGAGTGGCTGAACCCAGAAAGGAAACTTTACACAAGGAGGGAAAAGGGGTAAAATCTATTTGATGACAGTTTCAAAACAAGTTTCCAAACTGTCTGCAGCATCCTTGACTTGAAGGAATCATACATAAGAAAGGGGCAGAAAATACTACTGAGCAAGCTTATTTTAATTGCCCATGAGTTTCCAGGAAAGTACGACAACTGAAATGCATATTCCAAATTCTTGCTCCAAAGCCTTATTCTTTGCCACTGAAAAGGAGGAAAGACAACCCCACCAATTGTTCTCTGGAGATAAAGGCACTGTTTTGTAGATTTTCCCCAGATCTGGGCCAGCATTACTAATGACCTGCCCACCCACCTGGGGGTCCTCTCCAGAGTGCCCTACAGGAACTGCCCCACACCTTCAGAAACCCAAATGCTTGGCAGGGATCAACCCAAGAAGGTTGCCTTTTCGGGTAGCTGCTGGCCTTCCAGAACACCTAACCTGAAAGAATTCATGCTTCTTATTTTCCTAGAGGAGCCAGAAGGTTGATACCTACAATTTTTAATCCTACATTTTAGTGAATCTGCAGCATTTTTTCTGCGGAGAAAAGATAAACTCAAAATCTCAGAGCCATCAGAAAGGTTCTTTCACACTTTGCATTAAGGCAGTTAGTTAAGCAAAGTTGAATGAAAGTTTCGGGGTTGTGGCCTCTTTATTTTTCTTGTTAAGACCACCAGCTGTGAGAGGACACACATGAGCTTCGACAGTTCCATTTCTCATGGGCCCACGTTTAAATGAGATATGCAGAAAACGGGGGTTTGGCAAAGGTGCCTATGTGATCCGTTCATGGGCTTCTCCATTGTCCTAGAAGAGAACATGTCTGTCCAGTCATTGACATTTTTAGGGACTAGAAGGTGCTGTGGAATCCTGACCCTTGCACTGTATAACTCAAAATGACATCCCCCCACACACACTCATGGGGGTCCGGAGGTTTTAAGTCGGGACTGTAGGGTGGGGCGCCCTTTCGCAGGTTTCATATCCAAGCCCCCCTGGGAAGCCCAACCCCCAGAATGCCTCGGAAGAACTTCTTTGCTTCTGTTTTTGTTTGTTTGTTTGTTTTGTGTGTGCGTGTTTTTAAAAAAACAATTTTGCCGGGACCGGTTTGGCTCAATGGATAGAGCGTCGGCTTGGGGACTGAAAGGTCCCGGGTTCGATTCCGGTCAAGGGCACGTACCTTGGTTGCGGGCATATCCCCAGTAGGGGGTGTGCAAGAGGCAGCTGATCGATGACTCTCTCTCATCGATGTTTCTGACTCTCTATCTCTCTCCCTTCCTCTCTGTACAAAATCAATAAAATATATAAAAAAAAAAAAATAAAAAAAAAAAAAAAAATAAATAAAAAAACAATTTTGCGTTTTGCCGCCACAACCCACATTCTCCCGTGAGCCCTCCGAGCTGGGAAATAACAAGGGAGTTTAAACCAGAAGACAGTTTTTCAGCCCGCAGCCTAAGCTTTGCTGCGCTCCGCGGGGGGTTCGCATAAGGCCACCACGTTCAGGACTCCAGAGCCGCCCCCAAACCAATCCCCCTTTTCCCACACGCCTCTCTTCTCTTCCCTCCTGGCTCTGTGGGGGCCGTGTCGCTGCAAATGCGCTTTCAACTCTGGTCCCCACCACCTCACAGCAAAATCCGACCTAACGTTTCAGAGTGTGCGCCTGCGCCGGGGGAGGGTCCAGGAAGGGTGAGGGGGTGGCGGGACCCCAGCTGTGGCTAGAAAAGGCAGGAGCGACGGGGAGCGGGGGAGGGGTCCGGCCAGGGCTGAGCCTCCCCCTTTCCTCCCAGCAGGTCCTGGCTCCGGCCCTGGCCTGGCTCTCACATGTGCGCGCTGAAAACTCACTTCAAAGTCTATTCCCCGCGTGGGGACAGCCATTCGTGCGGGCCGCCAACCAGAACCGGGCTTCTACACCCCCTAAGATCCCCAGCACTAAGAGATTACAAGGCCAAGGGAGAGGACGTTCGTTTAAGAGCCCAGGGAATGAGGAGCCGTTTTCGGGTGTACAAGTACCTCCCTCCCTCGCCGCCTCCCACCCCCGCCTTAAGAAACCAAATGGATCACAAAGTTTGTGGCCAACGCTACGCAGTGGCCTTCGGAGCTCACCATTGTTTGGGCTCGTATTGACCCCAGGTCCGGATTAGGCAGCGACTGATTCCTGCTTTACAGCCCCGTCAGCCTAATGAGGCCGGGAGGCGATGGGGCGCGAAGCGTCCTCGAAGCAGGGGCGACCGCCGGCTTACGGCCGCCAAGGGCCCTGTAGGTGGAGGTCAAAGGGTCAGCGGGCCAAGACCGCAAGAGAATTGACCAGAGGAAATGAGGTCCCCCACCCCCGCCCCCTCTGAGCTTCGGCCGGGACTTGCAAGAACTTGGTCCGGATAGGGAACCTGGGCGCTCCGACTTCCAGATCGTTTGGTCTCATGGCCGGGCAAATCCCGACTAGAGACTTGAGCCTTCAGAATCAGACAGCCAGAGAGAAAAACCACCCTAGCTGCCAGAGAACAGCTCTTCAGGGTATGGACACGGCGGTGGAGATTCTTTGAGAAACTTAAGTGGAAAGAGCCCCTTGGACTTTTTTGTTTGTTTGCGGGGAGGGTTTGGGGTGGGGAGGAAAGGGAGCCAGGGGATAAGACAACAGGCAGCTTGAAGGGGGGAAGGGCAAGGAATCCTGAACACAACTTTCCTGGAAGGCTTAGCGAGCAGAGGCTGTCCTCCTTGGCTCTCAAACCCTCGAAGTTGCTAAGAATGCCTGTCTCGCTTAGCCTGGATCCTGATCTTTAACCTTCCAAACTGAATAAAGGCCAATTTTCTGTCTGCGTGGAAACACACACTTCCCCCTTCCTGGCCCAACAGTGGAAATCTTAAGCTAAACTACCCATTTTGCAAGGTAATGGACTTTAACAAAGACCTTACCATAACAAGAATGAAATTATCGGTATGTAATAATTAGAAGCCAAATGACATTCATGTTTTCCAGCTGATGCATCTTTAAGGTTGCAAGGTTTTGTTTGGGAAGGGATGCTTATTCTTTAAAGATGTTTCCTGAAAATTCATGAGTGTAAAATGTGCATGCCTAGAGTCAAATTAGAGGAAGAAAATCTGAAAAGTTTTCTACTAAAACTTTCCTTTGCAAAAAATGACAAGAGCAAAGGACATACACTATTTGACAAATATGATGCTACATCCAAATTAGAGGAAATTGTGTATAGGGGTAAAACTTTCACATTATCTTAATATTGGTTATCATCATTGTTAATTGCCATTTTTCTTTCACTTAAGACACAAAACTTTATTGTAAAGTTTTTGGTAGAATAATTTCAAGCTTACTCAGAAAAGATGAAGCTCTAAAGAGATATCTAATATACCTCTAAGGGGAGAGAATAAGCTAGTTTGTGAGAGAATCTTGATTTGAACCCATCACTCTACTCCCATTTAAGATTAGGTTTAAGTTTGGGTGAGGGTAGAAAAGTAATTCGTGAAGAAAACAGTAAACTGTTAAAGTTCACTGAATGTTTCAGAAGAAAAACACTATTTAGACTTCAGTTTGAATATATTATCAGTCAATCTTATGAATATACACTTTCTGAAAATGTGCTGAGCATTTAACACACTCTTTGATTTGGAATAAAAGAAAAAATCTTTAAATAGGAATTTAATCCAGCACTCTCAATGTCAAGGTCAAGACTGGAATGTCTGGGGTAGGAGTTGAATGGTATACTGACCAGGTTACCTGCTCATTATTTGTGAAGTCACCCCAATCTCTATTTATGGCATTCAGGCCCTTGCCTTCTCTACTGGTGGAAGAAAGTGGGAAAAGAAAAAACAAACAAACAAACAAACAAAAAAACCTTCTCCACAAACAAACAAAAACCACACCCAAAGCAATTTGCAATTAGAAACTATGAATAATTAATTGTCTGTTGATAAATATCAGTAGATAACTTAAAATAGACTGCTTCAACTGTATCCAGGGAATCAAAATTTCTTTTAATCATCAGTTCTGAGCATTTTAATTTAAGGTTAACTTATTTAAACATTTAAAAATTCAGGCACCAAATACAAAAATGTTATAAAATAAATAACATGTGCCAAGACTTTATTTCTTTAAAAATAACAATAAACAAAATTCTAGAATTCAAAATGATTATGTATAATACCAAATTGACTGCCACCAACAAAACCTAGATCATTTCCCCTTCAAGAGAAGGAGGGTACTTAATCCTGCTCATTACATTTCTAAATTCTTTACAATTCCTTATCTCCACCATTCTATTTACTGATTTGCAAGCTGGTTATTCATGCAGAGATTGGGCTCTCAATATTAAACAGCACCCTAAGTTAGTAAAAGAAATCTTAATTCTCTACCCACTCCAATCCCCCCAAAATAGTAAGCAGTTTCTTTTTTATATAACTGTGAAAATTGTCCAAATGAGTTGCTTCACTAAATATTTTATTACAAAGCAAACAACCATTTTTCATTATTATTGATTTTAATGGAAACAATGCTTTTAACATCTTTGCCTACAAACCATGAACTTTAAAAATACACATTTTGCAAATGATTTTTCTTTCCATAATATAATTTCAGAACTGCTGCAGTTATTATACCACTATAAAAAGATTATGAATAATTGTGAAAATTACGAATTGAACTATATACAGCAAAACAAATCAGACTTTACCTTCCCAAATTGTAAATGGACTATGGTTTATTTTTTAAGAAGCACTTTAACCATAAGTAAGCAGGCTCAACTGGCCTTACTCATCACCACTGTTTCAGATGTGCTTACTTTTAAAAATATATAGCTAGCTAGCTAGCTAGATAGATTTGATAGGCAGATTAGGTAAGTCATAGATACAAACATATATAGGTGTATGGGTAATCTCTCAATAGAATAGATGGACATGCATCCTGCCTAGATGTTCATTTTTATGTAAGGTAATAAAAAAGCAAGGGACATAAAACTCATTAGGTTACCTCATGTTTATATATGTAGGGCAGGGATGATTAAATCCAGCTTCTCAGTCTTTGAAGTACAAGATTGAGATGTCATGGCCACTAACTGGATTGATCAGTAATATTTGATTTGCATGCCGAAAATTGGGGACAAGCACATTTAAACTGGCAGTTAAAGAACCATCTGAGCTAGAGATAAAGAAAGAACGATCTTACCAGATGGAAACTGACACTGTAAGTAATCCATACCTCAGTAGAAAAATAATTTAACAATTAAAAAATGGATCTGAGTTATAAATACCAACAGATAAGATTCATTTGCTCGAATCTCCTCTTTTTAGGAGGCTGTTACAAAACAAGAGAAAGGAGTCAGTGGTTCAAAAATTGTAAATTTTGTTCTTTCAAAACAATAAAATTTAATGCTAACGCAGTTATAATCAACAGCTGTACAGAATTTGTTAGAAAACACTTATCCATAAATATTGTTCAGTTCCCGGCACTTGTAGCAATAATTAAATTACAACGATAAATATGGCATCCATGGGTATGTATTTACAAAAAAAAGTTATTACAAAAGGCAACTGTATACTAAATGTCACAATCTGTGTAGAGCAACATCACATCCTCAGCCTGAAAAAAATACTGACCAACAGTTTTGACCCCATTAGACAAAAATACATTCACAAGAGTAATGCTTTGAGAAAAAGTTCAAGACATAACAGGACTTTGGCACAGTTTAAGACTGTGAGAGTTTAAACAATCACCACTAAGGCGAAGAATCAGCTTAACATCACCACCACCAAGCCTTCTATAACTTCCTCTCAAAAAACAGGACAAGTATTAAAATGAACTCAAAGAGTTTAGGGATGGGGTATGCAAGAGAAAAGAGAGAGAAAGCAGTGAAAATATTTTTTTTTAATCTTTCAAATGCCAAAACATATTTCCTAATCCTGAGAAAGGGCATGCCTACTTTTGGATCTTACCCAGAAACCTTCCTAGACAATTACAATGAACAAGATGTTGCCCTATATGTGGCCTCTTGCCTTAAAACTCCATTTCCGTTTGATTGGCCTCAGTTTTCTTTTTAAAATGCATTTGGTCCATTTTATGGTTATCAGGGTTTGTGTTTGTCCTCAGACGTACCATTCGTTAAAATTGGGAGGAAGTCCAGGGTTGTGGCTGGTGCTAGTTTGAACTGCAGAAGGGGGTTTAGTGGTATCTTTACTGTTTGCAGAAGCTATAGCGGGTGGAGTGGAAGATTCATAGCCTGAACTGGCAGCAGGGGAGGAATCTGACCCTTGAGATTCATGAACCTAAAATTAACATGTATATATTATAATGAATATAATTCCAACCGGCATTGTGCAAGCATATACAAGAGCAGAATTAGAGCACAGTAAGAGCAATGTCCCACTTAAAACAAAAAGAGAGAGAGAAACGCTGCTGATTTCGTTGGCTTGTTTTTAATTTCCGTATTACCGATGTCTAGAAACCCTGGGCACGTTCACTGACCGTTTTATTCCTAATATTGACATGTGGAAAAGGGACAGAGCTCTGTATTATTCACGCTCCTTCCAAAGTGCTTTCTCCGCGGATGGAGTGGGATAAGCCCTTGGTCTTTGGGGCCACGTAAAATATTCCGGGCCCAGATTTCACCGAGCCCAGTTTGGCTTGGGAAAGCAGATACAGAGAAAAGTGGCACAGGCGCCCTAGGCGCTGCAAGGTCTCAGACAACTTCATAGAAATCAGACCTTGCTTCTGAGCCCTATTGTTTTATGGAAAGCCAATGAACCGAACTACCCACCCCCAGGGTTCAGCGCCTACACTCTCGCACTCTAGTTTCCCACTGCGGGCTGAGCGCGGAAGAGGCGACTGATTGCCGCAACCTCAAGCCCCGGCGAGCTCGTTTAGAGCCTCTCAGTAAACAACTGATTGTCCACCCCCACCCCCTGCCCCGCTCCCTCCACCTCCCCACAGTGCTCTCCCCCACCCACCTCCGGGATCCTAAATATGGGTTCAAGGTGTCATCGCTGGAGCAAATGGGATCTAACGTGGAGGGTACGGGGTTGGCAGCGCGGGCGCTTACATTCTGCGGCCCCGGTGTTGGGCCTAGCGTTTATAAACCGCCGACCGCTAATAAAGAGGTAATTACCTTCATGTGCTTTCGCAGGGAGCTAGGGTGCGTGTAGGACTTGTCGCACACTTTGCAGATATAGGGCTTGTCCGAGGTGTGCACGTGCATGTGCTTCTTGCGGTCGCTGCTGTTGGCAAAGCGCCTGTCACATCCTTCGAATTCACATTTGAAAGGTTTCTCACCTGCAAAAGGCAAAAATGCAAAGGGGAGGGAACATGGTCAGGCCAGGAGCTTCCTGGAGCGGAGCAGCGGGAGACCGAGCGCTCCGCGATCTTCCGGAAGAGGGAGCGCCGACTGGGGGCGGCGATAGCGTCTTTTTTCCCTGGAGAAAAACGGAGAGTGCTGGTTAAGCCTACTGGTTTGGGAGTGGTGCGCGGGGTGGGGCAGGGCTGGTCCAGAACTTGCGGGTCCCTTTGTTCTCGCTCTGGATAGGAAAGCACCGGGCTCCTCCAAAGTTTTCCCTAAGTTGTGGATCCACTCTACCCAGCCCAACGCGCGGCCAAATTCTGCCACTGCCTAGTAAATATAACCAATCCCAGGCGGGACAATGAACCGGGAAGGAAATCCCATTCAGTTCGTTCTTTGTACCTGTTAATTTGCCTTTTTCAAATGCAGCGATTTTGCTAAACTCGGGATTAAAAGCTTGGTTCGTCGTACTTAACGTTCAAAAAGAAAACTATATCAATCCAGGGACTTCCAGACTGTTTACAAGACGTTCTGAGCAAGCCACGAAACTGTGATGCCTTTTCTCTACGTTAGCTTTCCTCCCGCAGGACTGAATTGAACCTGGAACTCCAAATAAAAATAGTTTGACAAAAGTATCAGTCATTTAATTAGGAGACGTGCCAATCACCGGTAGAAAAGAGCGGAAGTAACCGAAAGTTAGCTTTCATTAGCATTTCTATGGTTGCTTTTCCCGAATGTGTTCCGAAAGCTAAATTGCTTGTAAGCAATAGGCTCTCAACACATTCGTAGTCCCTTCCTAGTAACCCAGAAAGGGAGACAAAAAGAGGCGGCGCCAGTTTGTCCCTGGGCGCGAGAAGGTTCCAATTAGTTCCAAAGACCACAGAGCCGTCTGCCCGGGAAGTTAGAAGTAGGCAAAAGCGCCGTGGGGCGTGAAAGGGGAGAGATAGAGGGACACTGACAACCTTCCTTTCCCAAAGGCCCTAGAGGGGCACCGCCCCTCTATTTGGCCATCACCCCTGTCGCTGTACATCGACTCCCCCGCACAGTGCGCACAGTGCGACGATGAATCCCGTGTCCGCCTCCCTTTATCCTTACCTGTATGGGTCCTCTTGTGGATCTTGAGGTTCTCGGAGCGGGCAAAGATTTTCCCGCAGCCCGGGAAGGGGCATGGGAAGGGCTTCTCGCCCGTGTGCACTCGGATGTGGTTGACGAGTTTGTACTTCGCCTTGAAGGACTTGCCCTCGCGGGGACACTCCTCCCAGTAGCAGACATGGTTGTTCTGCTCCGGGCCCCCCACATGCTCCATGGTGACATGTGTCACCAGCTCGTGCATGGTGCTGAAGGTCCGGTCGCAGCTCTTCTTGGGCCGGTTTAGCTGAGCTTCGTCCACCCACTTGCACGACAGCTCCTGTTTGATGGGCTGCCGCATATAACGGAAGAAGGCGCCAGGCCCGTGGTGGGCCGCCACGTTCACGCCCATGTTCATGTTCATGGGGCTGTAGTTGGGGAACTGCGCGCCGGCCGTGTAGGGGTCCGTGCGCGGGCTGGCTACCGTGCGGTACGGGTCCGCACGGCCAAACAGCTCCCCGCGCAGCCCCAGGTGCACTTGATTGTTGTCCATGTGCCCGGTAGGCGACGGGTGCCCAGGGGTCTGCTCATGCAGCCCGGGAAAGAGCAGGTAACTTGGCGGTTCGGGGATGCCAGGTGGAGCGTGCAGACCACTCGCCGAGCCAGCGAAGAGCGCGTGCTGCCCGCCACCTGGGGCAGCCTCGCCGAGCCCGGAGCTGCGCTGGCGGAACAGAAAGTCCCGCGTGGAATTGAAGGCGGCGGAGGCGGTACCGCCGTAGCTGGGCACCTGGCCGGTGTGGTGATGGTGGTGGTGGTGGTGGTGATGGTGATGGCCCAGGGCGTTGGCGTAACCCGAACCCTGTGGCATGAATGCAGAACTCTGGCCAGAAGATAGATCGTGAGCTGCGGCGGGGCTCAGCTTGAAGGCAGCGGCAGCGGCCGCGGCGGCGGCGTGGGGAGAGTCCCCGAAGGGACTCAGCCCCATGCTCGCCGGCTCGCGGCTGGGCATCTCGTGGTGGCGCGGCGCGCCGAAGCTGCCCACTCCCAGCCCGGGGAACTGCGGGCCTCCGTCCAGGAGCATCGTCATGGGTTGGGGGCGGGGGGCGTTCTGGGCACTGGCGATCCGGCTGCAATGAGCGACGGAGCGGGCAGAGGAGATCTCCGAAGCGTTGTAGTCGGAGAGGGGTGGCGGCAGTTGGACACAGCCGGGAGACCCCCAAGGCAGGACCAGGGGCTGCAACTTTCCGTCGCTGCGAGTCTCCTGCAGAAGGATAGGAGGGAGGAAGGGAAGTAGAGGGAGCTGGAGTGGGGAGAACGGGAGGAAGGGAAGTGAGGAGAAAAATTCCGGGACTAGATCTGGTTTAAGAAACTAACAGGAGCGCACAAAGAAAAATAAGCAAAATAACAAGTGGAGGGCGGAGTTCTCTAATCCTGTCCCAGGCACCCCTCCTCTCCCAGAGAGCCCAACAGAGGGGCCCCAGGCTGGGCTGCGCCAAATAGCGGAGCCGGCTCCGGGCCAGCGGGCGGCAGCGGGCAGGAGGCAAGCTCAGTCCGCACCGCTCGCTGCGCGAGTTCCAGCCTCTTCGCCTTCGGAGTAATGTCCTTGGACTGATCAAGTCAATCACTCACTCCTTTCACATAAACCTAGCGGGAGGCCGCGAGGCGCGCGCCAATGGGGAGCCAGCTGGCGCCCGGTCACCTGACCCCCGGCCCTGCAGCCCATTGGCCGCCGCCACACTGATTGGCAGCGCCGAGTAGGGAACATGGCAGCCTCCTCCAAGCGATCGCCTCTGATTGGGCCGCGGCCCGGCGCTTGGCAGGTGAGGCGGCTGCTGCCGGGCGCCCGCGAGTGGGCTTGGCCAGGCTGCGCTGCTGTAGGGAAAGGGGACCTGGCTCCAGCCAACGACCGGCGGGGCGGAGCCTGGCTTTTCCACCTCTTCATTCCGTCCCGAAGCGGGCCAGCACCCCTCTCGCGCGCTGTACCCGCTTTGACCAAATGAACTCTTTGCCCCATCGAGTCCCTCACCGCCCCGAGATTGAGCCTCCTCATAGACCGCAGGGCGCCTATCCAGAGGCGAGCGCAGCAGTTCCAGGCTCATGGCCCACTAGCTGCGCCCTCCCAACCCACCACTATGGGCTTTGATGGTCTAGAGACTCTGGACTGAGGCTGTCCAGCTCGCCGTCTGTGCCCTGAGCTGCTGCTACCTCCAAACAAGGAGTAGAGATTGCAATTACAACTGATTCTCTTCCCTCTGAACCTAGCGTTGAGTCTTTAGTTTGTGCCTAATGGCTATATTTGCCGCTCCCCCTTCCCCAAATACATATAACACAATAAAGATACGCACACACAACTAAGAGTAAGCGCACAACCCAGTAAAATAACACACCAAACACATATCACACAATAAACGTACGCACACAGCCAGAAATATGCAAGCAACACAGTAAACACGAACATGCCACACTAAACACACACACACACACACACACACACACACACACAACTAAACAGTAAGCACACAACCCGGTAAAATAACAAGCTACACACAAAACAGTAAACAGACACACAACAAAGTAAATACACGCATTTAACAAAGCAAATGCACACACCAATGTTAAATATTCAGCGAATACCTTTAGCCGATGTACACAAAACATGCACACAAGAAAGTAAATACACACATTGCTAAGTCATTAAACACAAACAGGATCCGTGCAGTTCTCAAACCACAGGTCTAATTAGCTTCGAAGTCTCAACATTTTCAAAAGCAAACGTTGGGGGCCAGAATGAAGACTGTGAGGTAAAAATGTACCCCCTTGGAACAGCTAAGACTTTGCTCTCTTTTACTTCTACCGGGAGCAGCAAGTGGACTTCTTACCCCTTAGGGATTTACTTTCCAGGGTAGTATGTGGGATCACTACCCCCTTCTGTCTGGTGCAAGGTTTTTCTGACCAGTTCAGACAAGGCTATAAATCCACTCTTTTTTATCTTTATTTTTGGACAGGGGGGAGTCTTGAAGGACATTTGCAAAGAATGCAGGAGAGTGAGAGTGGGAAGAAAAGGCAAACAAAACAACAAAAAAACTATGGCTGTGATTGTCACATCCTAACAGGGCCAAGCCCCGGAAGTCTGAACCTTGAGGCTGCCTCGCAGCCTGGCCGCCATCTCTCTGTAGGAAACAACATCTGATCAAGTTCAGAGGCGCTTGGAGAGACTGCCTCAAGCAGCGCTTTATAAACTGCAGCCTTTCACTTCCTGCCCCCCCTACACACACACACACACACACACACACACACACACACACACACACACACACTCAATCCGCCTGGCTCAGCCGACACTTTACCTTTCTTAGCCCGTTTGCTGGGGGAGACCATGCTGATTGCGCACTTACCATAGTAACCCCCTCTCATCAAACTTGCCCCAGTTCTCCCTCTACATCCAGAGCTCTCTCTCCTGAGGTTGGAAGGTGAGTTCACTGCTAACTGAAATTATTACGTTTATTGAGAACTGGCTCACCAAGAAAGGTTTCAGTGGCGCTCAGCAGAGGGTTTCTTTGGGTGGGGAAGAGGGAGTGGGGTTCACAGAAGAACAAATACGCCTAAATCATGCAAATGAATTCCCTGGAGTCAGTTTTACAGAAAGGGAGAGTCGCTTTTCTTTCTTTTTCTCCTTTCTTTTCACTTCCTCCTTTATCCTTTCCTCTCTTTTACCTTTTTTCACCTCCCATTTACCCGCGTGCACCCTAGGACGGTGGTTGGTTTGAAAAGTCTGAATTTCCTCGCCCGAGGAGAGCGATTCTCAAGGCTCGGGGCGGGGAGGCAGTGGCTGTCGAGCCCTAGCTGGCCCAAGGGTTTCTGGGGATCACTGTCTGGTATCCCCAGAACCAGGGGCCTTGCGCCTTTTGGGAATCAGGGCGGGCAGTCAGGCTAGAAAAGGGGAGGCTGAGGAAAAAGCGCGGCCCAAGGAGCCCAGCTTGCTCCTTTGTGGCGAGGGGTCCCGAGCGCTGTGCGGGGGGATGTTGCCGCCGCAGACCTACCGGTTGCCCAGTGTCCGTTTTGATATGGCCACATTCCGATAATTAATTGCCTCCAACACATGCTCTGTAGTCACTGGAACAAAAAAGGCATAATTCAATTAGATCATCAACCGAGAAGTGGGGAGGGGATGTGCTTGTTAAGGGGCCGATCTGAGGCAGTTCAGTCAAGCCAAAACCCGGGGCGGGGAGCCCTTCCAGGGACAGCCCGACCCAGCCGGAGGGTGCTACCCTGAGGGGGTGTCATCGCTCCGTGGGTCGCAGGGACCCCAGATGCCCCTAAAAGGACGAGTCGGGTGGCTTTGTGAATAGTAAGACGCAGGCAGGCCAAATGGGATTCAATTTCTGTTGGTTTGGGTGGAGATTTCCTTTTGGAGGAGGAAAAACCCTGACCCTTGAAACACGGTAGAAAGCGAAATATCTCCAGATACTGCAATTTATCACTTGTGAAAACAAAGCAGCCGCCCGCAAACCACTCCCGTGAGTCAAGAATAACAATGGGAAGTTTTCCTGATTACCTGCAGCCCCCACCGGTTACTCGATTTTAGGAGGAGACCCTAGGAACAACTTCGGGACACAGGGGGGTTTAGGAAGCTGAATCTGAGAGCAGATTGGTGCCCGAAAGAGGAGAGCACAGAAAAGTTTTACCTGCACACAAGCTGGAGCAAGGCAGAAGAGCGCTCCAGTTTTTTCGTTTCTCAGGTGGGGAAAAGACTCACTGGGCTGGGCTGGGCTGGGCTGGGCTGGGTTGGGCAGAGCTGGACAGCTTGAACTCAGAGGTCCTGGTTCTTATTTTATGCTCTAACCCCCGCTCTCTTGGCAGCTTTGGATACTGGGGTTTGTTTGTGTATTAGGCAGGATAAATTAACTAATAAATCCGTTTTTTTGCATCCCTCAGTTGTATGTGGTCTGGTCTAAATAGCCACATATCTGTATGGATAGGAAATATAATGGGATCTTTCCCTCACATGAGTTCAAATAGTAACTAGGAAAAAAATGATTTGTTTTCATGCCCAAATCTAAAGCAATAAATAAAATCAGTGAAACTGATGATTGCCAAATAAGCAAAGCTTTTGAGCCCGAATTTTGAGATTCATCTTGGAGAAGCCAGAGAGAAGCAGAATGTTCAAAGCGACAGGAGGGGCGGTTTCTCTGTATAACACAGTACCCCACTCTGCATCACTTTTCTCTTCACTCCAGCCTCCAAAAACAAAACAAAACAAAACAAAACACATTCAGCACGTTTGTGTTATCATGCAGGATTTCTTTCTAAACACATTTTCTGTGCGGACATGAAATTATTCTAACTCGGAGACCTGGCAATTTTCTTTAAATCCAAGGGAAACACTGCGGTCTTTTCTTCTGTTTTGTATTTAGAAAAGACTTGCAATCTAACACTTGCAACATTTTAAAGACCCTTTAAACCCAGCAAGCGGATTTCCGCTCTGCCAATGTTTCCTGATTTATTTCAATAAATGAATCTTTGAATCCAGGAAGGGAATTATTCCAAGACACTGAATTTTGTGCCCCTGCCTCCTCTTTGGGTAGCACAAAGTGTTTCTCATTGAAACAGGTCCTTGAAACTCACCATTATTGCCAAGTTTTAAAATTATAAACCACACTTTCTTTACATAAATTCCCACCCTCTCTTCAGAGTCACAGATCCTTTTTAAAAGGAAAAACTGCAAATCACATTAAAAATGAAAGGGGAAGAAAACTGAGAAAGGAATGCGTTTTTAACTCCTCTTTATTTTTATGCTAAGATAAAGCTCTTAATTGGTTTCAGGGGCTGAGCTGAAGTCTCTCTGGAGCTCAGGGACCATGGAACATACTCACCAACCGCTCATTTGGGCTCTAGGCTTTATTTCCTACATCAGAGTTTTCACCTTAATACTATCATTTGACAAATATTTTATAAGTTCTAAATACTTTAAAATTCAATATAGAATAAACAAATAGATATTGTTAATCAACTCTTTTAAAAGGTGTTTTTTTAGGGTCAATCAGGGGAAAAAGGAAACATTAATATTTGAAATAATTTTTTTAAAAG